GAGCACTTTCATCCTTCCTGGTGTCTTGTCCGTGGCTAAATAAAAAGTCCAAACTAACATTTATGTCATTTTCAAAGAATGAGGAAAGGAAAAAGAAAAACCTCATTTTTATGCCTGTAAGAAATTTTATAGATCCCAACTGTCTGAGACTTTTTCTGGTGTGCATAAAAGCCACATTGTAGAAGTGGCTTTATTATATATAATAAAGAAGAAATAAAATGAGGCCTCTTGGACCAGGGAAAGTGACAATTTTTGTTTCTTTCAAACTTGCTAAATCTAATCTGAGTCTAGAATTAAGGTGTCCCAGCCTAGGGATTTGTGAATTGCAGTTGTTACTGCCTTGACTGATGGCTTTGGCTCACCTGGTAAAAATATTTTGTCAAAATTGGTACTTAGACATTTTTTTATTTCATTTTTTCAGTAATTTTTTAGGTAGCTGGGTAAGTAGAGGGGAGCCATCATCTTTGATACTGTGGAGATATTTCAAGTGGTGAACACAATACTTTGTCCTTGAACTTTTAAGCTGAAGCCATATTGCTTAAAACAAGTTCATTTGTTGTTGAGGCAGGTCAGCAAGACCTCAGAGCCCTGTAAGACTTCTTTCATGGCAACAGGGTGTTATTGACCTGCCTCTCCCCACACGAGTATTTGTTTTAATTTGACTGGCCTTCCACGCCAGCTGAGGCCCATCGTTGGGTTGTGGAGGAAGCAGCGTCCACGTTAGCAAAGTCTGCTAGATGACCCACCGGTTCCATGGGGCTTGTCTGCACTCATGTTACTGCAGCTCTCTCTGCCACTCACTTTCTTCTCGTTCAACCAAGTCCCAGGTGAAAAGGGTGAGCCCCCAGACAGGGGACATTTGTAGCCTGTTTGGAAGAATTATTTCTGGGTCTGCTTACAAGCCTGTTCTCTCCCGTGCCACTTCATCTTTGTTTATGCAGGATAACCTACAAAGCACCTCCCGGGATGCAGGCTTCGTGAAGGCAGCCACATAGGTTCACAGTTACTGAGTGCAACATGAGTAATGCCAGTGGTGGAACATTCATCCTGGGTCTTGGGAAGAATGGGATGTTGAGAGATTGGAGGCTCCATGTGTGGGGGCCTGGGTAGCTTCCTTTGCAGGGAACCTGCTGGCAGGTGTTGTCTGGAAGTGGGGGAATCATCTGAAGTTTTTTAGGGCAGGCTTGAGTTTTGTTGAGGTTGGTGGGGCCAAGGGGATTAGGAGAGGACCTGGGTCTGTAGGAAACTGGTGACAGTAGGAAGAGGAGGCCGGAGGACCCGAGGGATATGTAGGAGGTGGCATTGGCAGGACTGGCAGCTGAGTAACAGTGGGGCACGAAGCTTGTGCTTCTAGCTCACCGTAGTTGTGCGGATGGGGCACTCATCACCTGAATTTGGGTGTGCTAAGGGGGCAGTGAGTTTTCTTTGGCTTTGCAAGTCTCCAAGGAGAAAATTCTTGATAACTGTTGGAACAAGGAAACTGAATTTCAGAAAGGAGGGCTGGGCAGGGTTGGGCAGTGCTCTGAGCATCTGAAGACGGGAGCAGACAAACATGTTCTGGACTGTTTTGTAGAGCAGTGTGTTTTTCAGGCTTCTTTTAACAGAACATACCACTATTCCTCCCTAAAAAGTTTTTTTTTTTTTTCACATGTAAGTCAGGAATAGAAAAAAGCAAGGGTAAGAGTGGGATTCAAAGACTCTCTCAAAGTCCCCTTACATGCGGGCAGAACCGCAGCAGAGAAGTACAGCTGACCACAAGTAAGTAAAGGCCAGTGTTGTCAACAGTTTGAGGAGCAGCATTGTGTCCACGGTCACCAGGCATTTGGAGGGCATTTGGTAACCTGTCAAAATTTTTAATATACCCATAAATTTTGATCCCAAAATCCCACTTCTGGGAAATAATCTTACTAAAATACTCACACAAATACATACAGATATAGGTATAAAATGTCTGATGTTACTCCGATTGTAAATGATAAACCGTGAACATCCAAAGACCCATCAACAGCCAGATAATTTAGCTGTGTTATACGTGTTAACATGAAAAGATATCCAAGGAGGGAAAAGCAGTCAGAGCTGTGTAGGGTGGCCACAGTGAAAGAATCGTGTGTGTATTTGTCTGTTGCTGTGTATTTTGAAGCAGTGTGAAACAGCAGAGACCACATATTAACAGAGGTTATCTCTGGGACACAGCATTAGCAGGACTTTTCTAAGCCTTGGTATCTGTCCTTTTAATTTTGCTCCTCAAGTACCTATTACTATCGTATTAAATAATAACAGCAACAACAAAAACACTAGTTTAAGAAGATGCCAGCCACCAAAGTTAGTGTGGGAGGCAGAGAGGGTGAGAGGGACCAGTCCCAGGATGGTCCAGCTAGGACACTGGGGGCAGGATGCTGAAGGGGATGGAAGTTTTGAGGAGAAAGAAATGGGAGACTGAGTCAGATGCCACCAAGAGGTCACAAGAAGTGACAGTCAGGTTTGGGAGGCAGTTGGCTTCAGTGATCTGGTGGGTTCCTTGTACTTCTGAGCCATGGGCATGCTTTGGCTCAGTCATTGCCAGTCTGCATTTCTACGTCCCAAAGCACTTACAGTAGAAACCGAGCTGTGCCATACACACTAACACCCATGCTAAACTCTGTTCTTGGACGCACCCACCTAAACTTGGGATGTTTGCCCTGAAGTCTGGTGACACAAATTCAGGATGTCTATGTCCATTGCTGAAAATGATGCTGAGTGTCACCCAGATGTGCACAAAAGACTGTCAGGAAGTGGCCTGTCAGTCTAGCCATAGGAGTAATATTTTGTCCACCTTTTAAAAACTACGGTAGGTGGGACCAAAGTACCCTCACCTTGCTCCTGTTGGTACAACGTTTGTGCTTCCTGGCCTGGCCTAGTCTCCTTTCTGTCTAAAGTTAGATGGTGACTAACACCAGACACAAAGGCAGATTCATCTGGGGCTTTCTGCTTTTATTCACTCAGTGTTTGGGCCTCTTTTCTCTTGGCTTCAGCATTGCACAGTCATCCCGGCCTAGCAGGTTCCCACTCAGTGAGAGCCATTTCCTGAATAGAGTGTTTTTCTCATCCCAGGAGTTCCATACTGTTTACCTCCACAACTAGGGCAGGCTGAGAGGTGTGGGAAGGGGTCTTGCTGTGGTCATCGTGACCCCCTTCCAGCTCAGCTGCCTTTCAGGTGCCCTTTCCTGTGGCTCTTTCTCTGTTGCCTGGAGATGATGCCCTCCACTGAAAGTTCACCTGGGAAAGAATGGGCAGCCCTTGAGATTTGGGGGCTTTCAGAAATGAGCGTCTTAAACATGGTCTACTTTTTACTTTCAGAATTAAAAATTCTTTGGGGTCAGGTAATATTTGCCCCCAGAACTGGGTTATCCTAACTTCCTTGCACACTTTTATGTATTTTTGTTTGCTTTTACTATGTCCTTTCAGACTTATATGATGTTAGTCAGTTTTCTTAAAACTAATTTCAAAGTCCCTCATCAGAACTTAAATCCATACTGTGTTAACACACATGCCATTCAAGTATAATGATTTCAGGAGTATAGGTGGTTTCTGTCTCAGAGCTGAGACCTAAAAGAACTAAAGTAAAACATGCTCCTGATTTGTTTCCTTACAGCTCTCAAGAATACTCCTGCCCTGACTGGTGTGGCTCAGTGGGCTGGGCATTGTCCCATAAACTGAAAGGTGGTAGTTAGATTCCTGGTCAGGGCACTTGCCTGGGTTTCAGGCCAGGTCCCTGGTTGGGGGCATGTGGGAGGCAACTGATCAATGTTTCTCTTTCTCCCTCCCTTTCCTTCTCTCTATAAATAAATAAATCTTAAAAAAAGAAGAAAGAAAGAATACTCCCTAGGAGCTGAGGGAAGGTACACCATTAAGTGTGGACATATATAAATTGAGGGCCTCAGATGACAATAAGAAATGCCCGGCCGTTCACTCCTGAGGATGCGTGATTGACCAGCCACACCCTGTCTCTGAGTTAGAGCTATTAGTGAGTAGGGAGCAGGCCCTAGCAGCCATCTCACTTGCCAGGTGTGAGCTGTGACCGAAGGATCACCAAGAAAGATGGACATTCTGTCTGTACGAGTGGGGAAGTGGTAAATAATAAATATGAATTAGCACTGTCTGGTTTGAAATTTCCCACTAGGGGTGAACATTTATTTTTTAAAAATGATCATTGATACTTTTCTCCTCTTAGGCCTCAGTGGGTTATGACCTGTACAACCACCTGCCAAACTGTGACAGGGTAGTATGGATCTCTGGGCAACTAATAATGGCTGAAATGAATGATTCTGCCTTTAAAATGAACTTGAGCTAAAGGCAAGGAGTTTATATAACTGCGAAAGGAGAGAGCTCATACCTGCAGAAAATTTTTCAATAGTTTGTAACTAATTTCAATTTTATGAATAGCTTTGTGGAAATTAGTTTTTACGTTAACAATTCAAGATTCAAGCATCAAAAGGTCAGCTAAAATTAGCTCTTGTTAGCTCATAGTCCCTCGATTGGCCTGGAAATGGCTCAAATGAGAAGAAATGTGTTTTGGCAAGTTTTGCTTGCCATTTGTCACCTGATATTGGTAGTGGTTTGTTCATTCATTCAACAGACATTTATAATCTTATTTGTTGAAAGTACTCATTCCTTCAACAAGTGTTACTAGAGTGCCCAAGTGCCCAGGCGCTGGGGGTATAGCTGTCAGTGGGCAGACATGGGTCCTCCCCTCTTAGCTAATCAATGTAAGCATCTAGTTTTGCAAGTAGGCTATGAGAGGGGCTGTACTGGCACTGCTAGGCGCTGGGGCGCTTTTACTGAGCAGCTGTCACATGCCTGCCATAAGGCTGCATGGCAGAGAACCAGTCCCTATTCTCTGGGTTCACACAGCCAAGTAGGAGGACAGACAGAAAACAGTTCTGTGAGGGGCAGAGGAGGGAAGCCCAGGGCTGTCTTGACCTGAGCTGTGAACGCTAATGGCTTCCATCTGACCTCTGCAGCATGGACAAGGACAGCCCGGACATCCACCAGGACCTGAACGCTCTCAAAACCAAGTTCCAGGAGATGCGGAAGGTCGTCAGCACCATGCCTGGCATCCACCTGAGTCCTGAGCAGCAGCAGCAGCAGCTGCATAGCCTCCAGGAGCAAGTCAAGACCAAGAACGAGCTTCTGCAGAAGTACAAGAGCCTCTGCATGTTCGAGATCCCCAAGGAGTAGACTAGGCAGGCTGTCAGGGATGCCCATGAGAGAGCTGAGGATCCAATGGCCTTGCTGCCCCGAACCCTTCTGCTGGTGTGGGTCAACACCAGCTCTGGACTCTAGCTTACTGGGGCAGGGGCCACCGTACTGCTTCCTTAGCTGAGAGGAGCCCGCCTAGGAGCTTGGCTTTATGAGAGCATATATGTATATGTATGTGTATGTGTATATGTGTGTATGTACGTATGTGTGTGTGTTCGTTTGTTCCTAGAGGCTGCAGCGGGGATGGAGGCCTACCTCTGGGGGGGGCTTCTGCTCTGCGTTCCAGCTCCACCGGCATATCCAAAGAGCAGAGTAGGAAAGGAGACCTCTCCTCCTCGTTCCTGCCTTCCCTGTCCTCCTGCTGCCTGGACATACATGATCAGTGTGTCCCAGATACATATTGTTCTGTTAATGGCAGTGCCATTCAACATTTGCATAGAATCCTCTGGACGGATGAGGCCTTGTGCTCACATGGCATGGGTTTAAAGTGGCAAAGGAAGGCTGCGAGAGGGCACTGTTTTCAAAGACTACAAGGTGGCTTTTTCTCCTAAAACAATGTTTCTTTTTATGTTTGAGCCAATGAATATAACTGTGCCCCTGCGGGTGTCAGCCAGAGCCCTGCCAGATGATGGTTCCTTGTCCAGGTTCTCTGCCACTGCATGTTCTTGCTACTTTTAGCTCTTGCTTCCTTAATTTCCTGACATTGACAGTCACAGTTTAGCCATTAATGCCCAAGAGTGGCCGAACCACCTCAAACCTAACACAGGGCCAGATGGTGCTGTTGTTTCAGCGCAGACCCAGACAGGCTTCCAGGTAAATGGGTGTGACCCACCAGTTCTGATTTGGTTCTGAAGGGTGGAGTGAGCTATATCTGGAAGTTATGCAGCCTAGTCCTGGTTTATAAAATGTTTACAAACACCCCTAATTTCTTGCAGATAGGATGTTTTATTTGCCCCTTAAGGATAAGGTGAGAATAGTAACCGAATACTCTTTAAATCTAGAAATGAGCGAATAACCTGCGCCGACGAGTTCAGGGGCTTAACAGATGCTTGCTGACTGACCTTGTTGGCAGGTTGGCTGAACGTGTTTTTATTTTAGCACAGGTTAGGTTCATGTGTCCCTCCAGCCACCTGTTAGATGGCAGGCATGTTGGGAACTCAGATGTGTGACGGGGGATATCAAGTTTCAGTCTTTGGACAGAAGAGCAGGCTCTGAATTTAAATGGATAGTCACCTATATTAGACTTCTACCCTGGGACCATTATTTAACTGAATCAGTTATTTTCTTGAAATTTCACAGTCGTGTGGGCCGGTTTTAAGGCTCTGACCAAATACCATGAAATACATAGAATACAAGACCACTGGGGCCTTTCTGCAAGGCTGAAATTTCAGTGTTTTGGCTTGTGACATTTTTCAAGAGTATAATTAAACAAACTGGTGCTCTGCTCTCAGGATGTCTTTGTTTTTGTTCTGAGAAATTCATAGTAGGATGTCTCTTGGGTGTGTTCACTTTGCTCAAAGAAGACAGAACAAATTGTGACAACCTCCACTGCACACCCCTCTCCAAGGCCCCCTCCCCAGCACTCACCTCACAGGGCGAAACTGAAAACAGGAACACTCTCAGGAGCCGGCATCTGTCCCCAGGGGCTCAGCAGCGTGGTGGGTGGTCCTGCCTGCCCATGGCCATCCCATCCCTCATCCCAGAGGCAGGTGTAGCCTTGGTAGGAGCAGCCCTGGTGCTCCTACCAAGTGGCCCCTTGAGGGGGCTGAGCACCCTCTTGAGGCCAATGGTTTGCATTATTGGGTGGCAGGCACTTGTGCTGAGTAGTCTTGTGTTTTCCTTGTGAAGAATAGGAGGCTTGGCAGATGTCACTTGTCCTGAGCTTGCACAATTAAGAATGGCAGAGAACTGGGTCCCGAATTGGAAGCGGGTACCCTTCACTACTGAGGAAAGGAGCACACAGGGAAGGGTGCTGGAACCCCATCTGGGGCAAAACATACTTCCTGCAGCTGGAGGGGCCTGGGAGGCTGGGTGGTTATGCCTCCACACACACATGGGGCAAGGCTGGGGAGGAGTCAGGCCCCAGCCCCACAGCAGAGCTGTCTTTCAGGGCCCTACTTCTCTACTTGTGACCACTGGCCAAGTGGCACCTCACACGCCCTGGGAGTTTCAGGTTTGACCACTGCTGTCGCCCTGGGCCTGCACTGAGTAGAGGATTGAAGGGTTGGAGTACAGCCCCAGGGACCTTTGTGGCTGGCCACCGGGGACTTAAGGTAAATAGCCACAAAGATGCATCTCTAGGAATGACCTTGAAGTCCTCTAATTTTATCCTTGACTTACCAGGAACTGTTCCCCAAATCAGGCCTCAGGCCTCAGCCCAGTCACCTGAAGCTTTTTTTTTTTTTTTTGCGGGGGGGCGGGGGGTAGAATGGAGGGATGGAGGGGGTTGCTTTTCTCCCAGGAGCACTGAAGGCGTTTTCGGAATATCGGGGTTATCTGCCAGCCTGAGTCCCCTGAAGTAGAAACCCGTGCCCCCCCTTCCCCCTCCCGCCATTTCTAGACGCAAAGAAAGCATGGGTTTTCATTTTTAATTATTTTATATTTAAAAAAAAATAATAAAGACTGTCTTACAGTATAAACATCTGGATAAGATTTTGTTCATGACAACAGAACTCTTAAAGTGCAAGTTTCGTTTTTCCTTTGTGCAATTTCATACACATGTAAACAAGTCACTTGGCTGATTTGACTCACACCCCTTAGTTTCAGGAGGGGGAAAGCTTTTGCCAGTTGTCATGGCAACCCGAAATCACAGACAAGATAACACCATTCATCTTAACCCTCAGCGGACCGGCTTCTCCAAGCCTAAGAGTGGCTGATTAACACATACACACACCCTCCCAATTCTTGGGTCTTTGTGACAAACCAGACAAATTCACCCTCTGATGGCCCTGTGTCCCCCAGGTAGTGAGGGTGGTGGGTGCCGACAGGCAATCAGAGATGTGAGGCGTCCCCGTATCACCCAGTTCTTCCTTCCAGAGTAGACAGCTGGACCTTCTCAGCTGTTTTCACCTCCCCAGTTGGTGGGGCCCCGAGTCTGGGGAGGGAAGAGCCACTACACACTCGAGCACGTGGCACAGGGCATACAGGGCTGGACCGGATACAGGACGACTTCTGAGCAACAGTACTCCTTACGCTCTGTCCTCTGCACGGGCTGGGGGAGGGGGGGTCCTAGCTGATTACGCAGCGCTCCTTGTCTTTCGCCTGGCCACCGCCCGCCTTCTGGCGCACGAACATGAGGTCACTGTGCACGCTGGGCCTGCGTGCAAAAGGCGCCACGATGCCGAAGGCGTCTGCCTGGTCGCAGCCCCCGGCTCGCAGCAACTTCTTGCTCCCAAGGGCCTTCTTGTGCAGTATCTCGCAGTACTGCACTGACACCTTGCGGTGCAGGTCCGGGCTCATCTCTCTTGGCAGCTTGGCCATGGTGAAGAGTGCCCTGAACATCTGGTCCAGGCTGCTGTTCTTTTTGGCCGAGATCTCGAAGTAGGCGCAGCGCTGGGGGTCACTGCTCACCAGCTGCTCGATTTCGGACTGCTCCACCTCTCGGTAGAGGTCCCGGTCACCCTTGTTGCCGCAGATGACCAGGGGCACGTCCACGTTCTCCTTTGTTTTGTTCTTGAGGCAAGACTTGGTATCGAGGATCTGCTGCTTGAGCCTCTGCACCTCCTCGAAGGAGTCGCGGTTGTCCAGGCTGAACACGAGGATGAACACGTCTCCTACGGGAGAAGAGAAGAGGGGAAGGTAAGGGAAGCTGCAAGGGGACTACTTAAGTTGGTCTTATTGGCGCTGGGCGGTGGACCCGCTGACCGTGCCTGTAGGTCGTGACCTCCCCGGCGCCAGCGCCCTGGTGGCGCGGCTCCGTCCCCGACCGCTGCCCGGCTCACCAGTGAGGATGGAGAGGCGCCTCATGGCGGGGAACGGGTGGTTGCCTGACGTGTCGAGAATGTCAAGCTGGTAGACCTCGCCGCGGATGGAGTAGAACTTGCGGTGGAAGTCCTCGATAGTGGGCGTGTAGGCGTCCTCGAAGCGACCCGTGAGGAATCGCGACACGATGGCCGTCTTGCCCACCTTGGAGGAGCCGAGGATGACCATGCGGTGGCAATTCTTGGCCGGTATACTCAGATCCGAGTCGCTCGGTCTCATCTTGATCATCGCAGCCAGTTTCATCGAGCAGCGGGGTCGCGGGCGGACGAGGGGCTGAGAGAATCGCGGAGTGGCTAAGGGGATCTGCTTGACTGCGGCTGGGCTCGGGCTTGGCTCCCGAAGCTGCTCCGACTCTTGGACACAGTCGCTGGCTCACTTGCTCTCCGCGCCCCGCGTCTGCCTTTATAAGCAGCCCGGGCCCGCCCCGCCCACTCGCCCGCGGCCGCAGTGCGTCACACCAGCGGCCTCCCGCCACTTCTCCGGGGCTGGCGGGCAGCAAGCCGCCGCTGCCCGCTGGGGGCGGTTAGGAAACTGAGCCGAGGATCTAGCTAAGGCTAAGGACGCGCTGACCCTGCGCTCTCCCACTGCACCCGGTCAGCGGCTGCTCGGGCGTCAGAGTTGTGATCCCGCATGTGCCTCTAACCTCTGTGACTCCTGGCACACACCCCGCCACAACACGCACACACTTTCTTAGGGCCTCATGTTCCCCAGAGAGTAACACTAGCGATACGGTCATCGCAGCAGCGTAACAGCAGGTGCTTACCAGGTGCTGGGTACCATGCCAGGGCTCTCTCTGCGCACCTTACCTCTTACAGTCCTGAAAACAGCCCACCGTGCCAGCCAGGTTCCCTTCCCTCCGCGGTTGCTCGTTCCTGGGCCGCGCGCTCTGGCCGCCAAAGGGCAGCAGAGGGCGACACACTCAGAGCTGCAGGGGGACCAAACTGCAGGTTTGGAGTCTGGGAACGTGTGGGTCCGGGCCTTGGGGTGGCAGGCTGCACTCAGCAGGAGCCCTCCCCTGCCTCATGCTCTGCTGCAGACCTCAGCTTCTCCATTTTTCCCACCACATTCGCCCTGGAGCCTGGCAGAGGAGTTCAGCCAGGGTTTATGCCCCTCCTTTTCCTGTCTTCAACCCAAAAAGGACTAGAAACTTGCCCTTTCTTGGCCGGGCCAAGGCCAACGTCCTCCCCACTTTTCTCCATAGTGCTCCGTGCCTTTTGAGTCCCTTGGGTGAACATTTCCATTTTATAGGGGAACTGGGTCTCTAAGCCACAGAATGAAGCGAGGAAGGTCCTAGGTTCATCTCTTGCCTTCTCTGGGCCTCAGGGTGCTCTTTCTGGAAGATGGTAGCTCTGGTTCTGTGATTGTGAGCAAGACGATGCAAACAGTTTAGAAGGCAGGACCTGGTAATTACAACAATAGTACGGGACCTGTGAGGCCACAGGACTGGGCAGGTGGCTGGGCGGGGTGGGGAAAAGGAGCAAAGGAGGAGGGCAGTAGATTGATCAGTAACCAGGGGTGGGGCTGATATTCCTGATGAGCCTAGAAATAGGCTTTCTGGAGCTGGTTTGCTCAAGCCTGGAGTTCCTGGAAAGGCCATTGCTGCTCGAGGTGACAGATGAGGCTGTGCTGTATTTTGCTTTGTGTCTAACCTGGAGGAATCCAGGAAGGGAGACATCAGCTGGTGCCACCCCCACCCCATGGCCCAGGGTGCCCTGGGCTGTTCTGGGGGTGCCAGCCCACACACTTCCACTGTTTGCATAGGGCCTGTGGAATCTCAGGGGTTCATTCTCCAAGGTCATCTCTTCAGCCTCTCTGTGACAAGGATTCAGTGCAATCTCACATTCTTCACAGTGGAATGCCAGGAGAGGGTTTATTCCAGGCCAGGTGATATTCTAAGGTCTTCCTCATGGCGACCTCTGAGGGCTGAGAGCTATTACTGTGTGTTGCAGGTGGAGAAGCTGAGGCAGAGAGAAACGACTTGCCAGGGTCCACAGCTCAGAACTGCAGGGCTGGGCTCAAGCCTCAGGGCACTTAGACACCTGCTGTCCTCTGCCTGTGCTGCCTGTGCCCCCTTCCAGGAGCCACTCCTCAGAGCACCGTGTCCCCTCCAGCTGTCCCCATGAGGTCATTTTAAAGGCATGCAGCACATGGGGAGCACATGGGTCTGAACCGTGGACAACTCCAGCCAGCCCAGATTCTTGCCACCACTTATGGAGGCAGTATCTGAAAAACCACTCTTGACCCTGGCGAAGCTGGCCTCCCTTGCCCTACCCATCTTCTCTGAGCAGGTGTGCATGTGGCATACACAGGGCCAGCCGAGGATGTGAGCAGGGATGGCCGCACATGGCTGGCATTATCCCGGAAGAGGGGCCTCCCTCCACCCCCCATGGAGACACCAGGCAGCGGGGCCCTGCAACAGGGCAGCTGTGGCCCCTTCCTGACTGCCCATGTCAGGAGCTGGAGTAACAGCAGCTCCCAGGCAGCCACACCTCCGCAGCCTCCAGTCCGAGAGCCGCTTTAGGGAACAGAGGCCAGAGGGCAGCAGGGTCAAGACACTGACCCCAGCTCACCCCAGGGAGACCTGGCGGGCTGTTCCCTTCTGGGCATGTTGCACTGCCACACAGGCACTAGGTTGTAAGGCTTGTTCTACCAGGCGAGCTGGGTCCGTTGAGCCTGATGAAGGCCCCAAAACCTGTGCGCCCCTCTTTGCAAGAGCGGCCAGGACCCTTGCTCCTCAGGAAGTGGACAGAGGTGACACTTAGCCTGGGCTGCCTCATTTCTTTTTTTTTTTTTAAGGAATATCTCTTGATTTAAAAAGTAATACGGTGTTAAAACATTCAGATTCAGAAAGGAACGGAGTGAAAGGATTGGAAGCAAGAGCCCCCCCCCCCACCCCATGGGAGTAAGGCTCACCCTGGGGAGGCACTCAACCCCACGCACCGACGGCCCCTCAAAGCTGCCCACCACCCAGCTCTGTCCACTGAACTCGCTTTTCTGTTCTTACAGGGTGGCCTCTGCACCTGCACCAAGCTCCACCCAGGTGACTGAGTCCCAGTGTGTCTTCAACAGGTGAGCACCCCTCCTCCGCCCCCTGGTCAGCTGGGCAGAGACAAGCAGACATTCCTTATAACCACCAGCCTGTGGGCCTGGCTCCTGGCTCCTGCTTCTCTGCACTCCCATCTGCTGTGTCCTTCCAGCCACAGGATTATTTTTCTGTTGTCCAGGTTTGTAATAGTTACAAATGAATTTGTTTCCTGTGTTTGGCAAACAGCATTTTTAAGGCCGAACCTGCCTGTAAATATCATGACTTGGCAGTGTAGCAGTTTCCCTGCTGGGAGTGGGGTGGAGCTTCTAAAAATATCTGAAATGTTGGGGATGGGTTGGGGTGGACAGCTGGGCCCCAAGGCAGGAATGTCTGCCACAGCCTGATCCCGTGGCACAGAGGCTTTAGAAGGTTCCTGAAAGCTGAGTGTGAAGGGAGTCAGGCAGGTCCCCTCCTGGGGTCAAAGCGTGTGGGAACTTCTGACGAGCACCTGAATGTCCTTGCAGCATCACGCCAGTCGGAGCAGCTCCCTGCATGGACAGCCCTGGCCCTGCCTGTCCTGTCACCCAGGCCACAGCCACTGCCTGGAGGAGAGGAAAGGGGCACATACCAACGAAACACACACCTGCCAAGAGGACCCCAGTTTGTCACCAGAGGCTAGCAGCCATTGTCCACAGAGGCCTGCTGCAGAAGCCACTCTCAGGGAAGCCACAGTATGGGCTGCCCCTCTGCTGTGCTGTGTTCCACTCCTGCAGCCCAGTCCCCACCCCCAACAGAGGGACTGAGGGAGACCTTCCACAGGCAGGCGGAGCTGTGCAGCTGTGCCCTCTTCGGCACCTTTACTGACCAGACCAGATCATGTCAACCAATTGTAAGAGTGCACTTGGGACCAGTGAAACCATGTGAATTTGGAGCCCTCGTTTGAACAAGGGTGGGAACTTTCTCTGTACAAGCCACGCCCCATCTCAGTGGGGCGCACTTCCAGCTTCTCCCGAAGACAGTTTCCCTGGTTTGTTGTTTTACTACATTAGGTTTCTCCCCTCCCCCCACCCCACTGGGACCTCCCACAGGCACTGGATTGATGTCAGGGGCCTTTTGTTGACACAGCAGGTCTGGCTTTCCCTCTGACAGGCTACTTATATCAGTCTGGCCATCTCCTCCTGGCCCTGAGCTCTGTTCCTCACAGCAGAGCCAGGTCAGGCCACAGCTCTGGCCCCAAGTGGACCCCTGGAGCTCACGGGCTTGCACTGAGTGGGGCGTGGCCCAGGCCCTCGGGGGGCCAGTGCGTCCTCAGAAGCTGTGTGCGCTGAGGCGAGGCCTTGGAGAAGTGTGCTCCCTGTTCCTCGGGGCGTGCAGACGGGCAGGGGTCGAAGCATTAGATGTAGCTTGTGCCTCTCAGGCTGAGACATGAACCACGGAGAAAGCCTGGAGGAATTCCAAAGGTGACAGCCAGCACTGCCTGAGCACCCGCTGTATACACAAGAAGGCATGACTACGGTGATCATTGTACAGGTGAGAGACTGAGGCCCAGGGCCTATGCTGCGTGCATAGGTAAAGCCCAGCTTGAATGGGAAAAAGGCTGAGGCTGTGTCCTTGGTGGAGCCGCCCTGTCCACAGGGCTGTGGTCAGGCTCAGCAAACAGGCCCAAACGGTCACACAACCTGCTCCCTGAGGCAACATGAGGCCCAAAGAGGGAGGGCCAAGAGAAAAGCAGCAGAAACTGGAGATGCCAAGTTCAGCCAGGGGCGCAGCGCTAAGCAGGGAAGTGCCCTGGCCCTGTTGGGGGATTGATAGCTCTTTGTGTAGGGAGTGACTCACTGTTTTAGAAATACAGCACAGCAATTAGGGGACCTTTTACAACCCAGGTGTTTAACAGCCCAGTGATTTGCCTTGTTTCTTCTAGCTTATCGACTACATACCAGAGATAATGAAACACTCTGCTTTCTGCTTCTGTAAATTGTCTCCTAATTTGGTCTGAAGGACAGGCCTCCTCCCCATCCCCCGCCCCCGCTCTATAAAATAACTGCTTTCCCTTTGCTCAAGGCCCAGAATTTGGAAACTGACTCCTCTGGGTCTGCACGTAAAATAAACTTCCACTCCGTACACCGAAAGCGGCTGAGTTGTTTTCTGTAACAGCCCCATGCAGCAAGCCCTCCCTGAGAGGAAGAGGGGGGGTGGGCTCAGGGCGGCGCAGACCTGGGTTCCGGTTCACGTGCTGTCACTCACTTGTGTGTCCCCTCAGATGAGCCACCCAGCCTCTCTGAGCCTCTCATCCTCTGCTACCAAAATGGGGTGACCCAGTCACTGCAGTCCTCACATCACAAAGCCAGTGCAGGGTGGGCCAGAGTCGGTATAGGCCAGGTGTCCGTGGTCCGGCCCCTTCCCTGACAGACTCAGCTCAAATGTCACCTCCTCAGAAAGGCCCAGCCCCTGACCACCATATCAACTATGGGCTCCCACTTCCACCAGGAACATTCATGTCACTTTTAAAATTTTCAGCATGGCCCTGGTCAGGCAGCTCAGTTGGTTAGAGCATCGTCCCAATATGCCAAGGTTGTGAGTTTGATACTGGTCAGGGCACCTACATGAATCAACCAACGAGTGCATTAAATAAATGAAACAATAAATCAATGTTTCTCTCTCTCTCTGAAAAAATAACATAAATGAATTAAATAAACACAACTACATGTAAAATTTAAAATTTTTTCAGCATATTTTTTACTCTTTGGTCATTTATTTTCCCTGGATGCCAGCTCACAGGGGCTGGAAGCCCCTTGGCACACAGGGCTGCTGGGCTGCTAGCCAGAGTGATGAGATGCCTACCCCCAGGCTGGGCTCCCTCCCTGAAGGAAAGGTACAGAGGAAGGAATGCTAGGTCAGGGTCGAGGCAGGCCCCTGCTGTTACCCCTCCAGCCACACAGAGACAGCGGGACCACCTCAAGGAGGGGTAGGGCTGCGCCAGCCTGGCCTGGAGCCCGGGGTAACAGCAGCTCCAGGAAATTGCTTCCCACCTGGACAGACAGAGATCCAGACAGGAAGCTGGGGTAGGGGGACCTTTATTGGTGAGTTAAAACATGGAGGGGGCAGCAGGGCAAGGGCTCAGTGGCTACCCAGCAGCATGTCCATGGCCCCCAAGGCAGCAATTCCCAAGGCACTGGGGTGGCCCTGGCCAAGCAGGCACTGAGCAGTGGCTGGGCACTACGCCCTCCTGGACTAGGCATGTGGGTGGAAGGTCGGGCCAGGAGGAGCAGACCCTTGGTATGGCCCAGTCAGCTCCTCTTGTCAGGCTGGGAGGCTTTCTGCCGGTAGATCTCAGCGGTGAAGGGCCTGCAGGGGCAGGGGAGGCTCTGGTCAGCTGATCTGAGGTGTGGTACTGACACTCCTAGGCCCTGCCCCCCTGGGGCATGGACAGAGTGACGGTCTTTCTGGGCCCCTGCCCCCATTGTACCTATTCTGAGCTTCCTATCTGCCCTTTGCCAGTGGCCGGGCATCGCCTGGCTGACCCAACCTGTCCTGGTCCTGGGAACCAGCTAGCTAGCCACGGTGACGTCAGACAGCAACCCTAGCCCCAGGCCCACGATGGCACCTACTCACCCCTCATACAGGATGGCGACCACATAGGTGAGGGCCACGACCGCCGTCAGCAGCAGGCCAGCAGGGCTGGCGTGCCTAGGGAGAGGACAAGCCTAGTAGGTGGGCAGGCCTGGCCCTGGGCCTCCTGCCTGTCAAGTTGAGTCCTGTGCCTCATGAGCTGAGCAGGGTGACCAGGGCGACGCCCGCCGTCTGGGGTCTGACCAGTGGACCAGCGCCCTGCCTGCCTGGGCTGCCTCGGGCAGTGCCCCTTTGGTCAAGTTTCCAGCCCCCAGCCAGGAGCTCAGCGGGTCACAGGAGCAAATCAGGGATTGAAGGAACGACTGTCCTCTCAGCATCGCCCAAGTGGTCAAGTGCATCCTGTTCTGAATGGGTGGGTGTTCCAGGAGATAGAAGATGCTACTGCTGCCCACCAGCAATGATACTCTGTTTTCAGGAAATGGGACCGAGCCTCCCAAGGCGAAGCACAGTGTCCCCAGGGCCCATTATGGGTGCTGGTGATGGCCATGTGCCAGAGCCCTATGAGCCTGCTGTTGGACTGTCCCCATCTTCTCTGTAGTTCTCTGGGTCCCAGGGACTCTGCAGGGGCTGGGCCACCACTCTAGATAGCCAGGGGGGAGAGAGAAAGAAAGGGCAGTGGGGAGCATGGCCGGTTGGCTCTGTATCCCCAGCACTGCCTCCTTCACGAGGGGGTCCCAGGCAGACGGCCCCAGGACCATGGCGGGAGGACACTCTTCCCTGCTGCCTAGGACCTCACGCTGTCTTTCTGTCAGGCAGTCCCAGGAAGGCTGAGCATGCCTGACGCTGCCCCTTCTGCCCTGTGGCTCAACTGTCACCAGCAGAGGCTGAGGCTGAACTGAGACAAAGGTTGCCCTCCTGGAGCTTCGTCCCTGGGCCCAGCATGCTTCACCAGAGCAAGCACAGCCTCCAGGGAGGAGGTGGGCAACAGGCTAGACCTCACCTCCCCCAACCCGGGGCCAGCCTGCAGGTGGGGCTCAGGTGCTGGCTCCATGGCAACAGGGTCCCTAAGATGGATGATCTGGGCAGCCTAGTTAACTAGGGGTCCTGGAAACCAGGAAGGAGCATGGTACCTGCCGCCAACTTCAGCCAGGCCCTGGTCAGGCTCACACTGGACCCCAGAATGTGAGCCACACCAGCTTCTTGTTTCCGTTATATCTATGTCCAGTGTTCTCACCTCCCAGTGCGGCCATGCCCTTGTCTAATACCCTGGTAGTTCTGTGTGGAAGTGGCCATCCAAGTGCAGATGAGGAGACAGGGCCCAGAACAACCCACAGGCTAAATCCCAGCTCTGGCGCTAAGCCTGGGGACGTGGCAGCACTGGTCCTGGCAGCCAGGCTGTGAGCCTGGGGCCTGGGGGCTGTGTGAGGCCCCGGCCTCGCCTGGTGGCCTGGGAGTCCTGTGCCCAGGCCTCCCAGGGCTCATACACTCCAGGTGCTCGGACACTGGGAAGTCCTACCTACAGGGCCCCAGAAGGGAGACAGATAGGCTACAAAAGTCCTGGAAGCGGCACTGCCAAGGCAGTGTCCGGAAGCCCCTTTAATGGTTTATCTCTGATGAGCTGTCAGGTGGAGGATGAATGGAGGATTCCCTCCCCTAGCACAGCTGAGGCCCGGCCACCTGGCTGTGTGCTGATGTCCTCTTTGAGGGGCCTGCAGGTACTGACAGCCCTAGGGCGGGGTGCTGGTGGGGGGCAGTGACCTCTTACTCCAGGATACAGGCTTTGGCTGGGCACAGAGATGGCCCATGTATGGGCTCTGTCCTTGGAGGGCCCCATCTGAGCATGGATGAGGCACCCATAGTTGGGGGGGGGGTCGGGGAGGGAGTCCCAGAGGAGAGGACAACTCAGACTGAGCTTGAAAGGACAGACGAGGGGTGGAAGTGGGAAGGAACAGCCTGCGTGCTGGTAGGGAGGGCCCATCCTTTCAGTCCCGGTGGGAGGTGCTCTGTGGAACAGCAGGCAAGCCTGGGGCCCCCAAAAGCCCATCTTCCACATCTGGGCAAGAGGGCCCAGGGCTGCCCAGTCTAGAAGTGGAGCTGGGGTATACGTGGGGCGGGTCCCAGCCAAGCCCACAAGCCCTCCTGTACTGCTCCTCACTCAAAGCCCAGTGCTCTCGGATCCCAGGGTGGGAGCGGGGTGTAGGCCGGAATATCAGTCCTGACTTTCTACCATTTGAGATCCATTCCTTTGTGTTCTGTAACCTTCCTGGCCTCTGGGAACACCTGTGACCTCCTAGGCAGGTGGTAGCATACTCTCCACAAGCAAGAAATGCTCTGGAGGGGCACACTCTGAAGCCGGAGCCTTCAGCACTCCCTGAGCTGTCTTCCCTGGCCTGGTGGAGGCTGGAGCAGGGCTGCTCACCAGGCAGCGCTGAGTCTTGCAGCCTGCAGGCTCCCGAGGACACCGGCACTCTGTGCTGCTGCGGGGTGAGGAGCTCTGCAACCCAGGCTCGTGCACGGATGCAGGCCCTGCCAGTGCCGGGGCCCCTGAGGTCTGCATCAGTCCTGGGAGCTGCTGCCGCCCACCCCGGTGCCCTAGCACAGGGGCCCACAGGCCAAGATGGCGTGTACTTCTTTACTGGTTAAAAGAGAATCAAAAGAACAATATTTTGTGACACCTGAAAATCGTATGAGACTCAAATGTCAGCGAGTGCAATGACGCCCAGTCACACAGGCTCATTCAGAGTCCTCGGGCACAGACCCCTTCTCCTGCCTTGGGTCCACGAGCCTCACTCTCTGACCCTGTGAGGGACAGTCTGCCGACCCCTGTTCTAGGTGTTGTTTGTTTGCACAAAGGCGTTATCCCAGTGGACACAGCTGGCTGGTGCCCTCGGCTGCACAAGGGCTGTGAGGCTGCTGTCTTCCTGGTGGGGCCGGCCCGCGGGCGGACGGCAGGAGGCCCACTACTCACACCATGGCCCAGCCCAGGTAGTTGGCTGTGCTGCCCCAGTACATGGGGTTGTCCAGGACGCTAAACGGGAACGTGGTCACTCTGGACTCCTTGAGGATCCCGAAGTAATCACCTGTGGACAAAGCAGGGCAGGTCGAAGGGTTACATCCTGGCCACACCATCCCTCAGTGAGGGCTTGGCCTTGCGGGGCCTGCCCTCCAGGAGGCTCCAGGCCGTGGGGGAGCAGATCTACCGGCACACAAGCCAGGGACCCCCATGGGGCAGGCCTGCTCAGGCCACAGGCACACAGATCCCTGGGAGGGCAGCAGCCCCTGTGGCTGAGGGGCTGAGGCAGGTACAGTGGGCCCCACTGCCCTGGAACCAGAGGCTCCTCTCCCCAGAAATCCCTTGGACCTTCATCCAAAGAAGAAGTAGGACAGCCACAGGTGGGAGGAATCTGCAGGAGCTGCGTCACCTACCCATTGTCTGGGGACAAAGAGCTCGGCCCAGGAAGAGCTGGGGCGGCTTTCTCTCTAGGAGGCTGGTGGGCCTGAAGGTGGTGGCACAGAAACCTGCTTGGGGCTGATGCCCAGCAGGGAGGTGGCTGCCTGACCCACATGCAGCACAGCAGCCCTCCAAGATTTAGGCCAGTCCTTCCGGGGCTGCAGTGGTCAGTGCTCAGGCTCCTTCCCTCACCCCCACCACCCTGACTCATCCCTCCCACTGAGCCTCACCAAGTGGCTCTGACTACACACCGCTGCCACACTGCCCTGGGTGGTGGGGGGCTATGCCAGCCCCTTCCTGGCTCTGCATCCACCCTGTAGCAGTGCCTGAGCGCTGGGGCGCTGTGCACACCTGGTCTCCAGAGGACGAAGCCACCCTCCTGCCAGCCTGGCCACGCTCACACCATGATCACTGCTCCTCCCTGGCCCTCTCTCACCCCCTGCCCTTGCCCCTTCCTCCCTGGGAGTGGAGTCAGTCCCTGCATGGCCTTTGGGGACCCAAGTGACGTGGCCTCGCCCAACCTCGAGGCAGCCCCCACTGGCCCTGTATACCAGCCCACCTGCCTGCCCCTCCGGCACGCTGTCCGCAGCCCTCCCTGAGTTCGAGTTTGCTCCTGGACCTGTCCTTTCCACCAGGCCACCGGCCAGAGCCAGGTGCTCTCAACGTCCCTTCTCCCCAGGTTCCCTGCTGTGCCCCCTTCCAGCCCCAGCCTCCCCGTGGTGCCTACTTGAACACTAGGCACTGCACCAGCACCAGCACCAGCACCAGCCCGGGCCCTGCGCCAGGGCTGAGAGGAGAGCCTCTTTCCCCAATGGTACCACGTGCCCCTGGGGGGCCCAGGGGCCCCCGCTGTGGCCTGTAGTGCCAGGCCCAGAGCCCCACAGATAACGTGGCGAAGAGGTACCCGGACAAGCTAGGCACCAGATGCCACTCAGGCACTGAGGAAAACTGAGGCAGGGATGAGACGGGGAGGGACCCAGACCCTGAACCCAGGCCCCTGACCCAGCCCATCAGGCAGCCAGGCACCTGCCTGTGCCACCTGCTTGCTGGGAAGAGCTCCCCCTTGAGCAGCGGCCGCCTCCTGTTTTCCTTTCTTGTCCCAGGGTCACCCTTGGCCCTGCAACCATCCCCTGTGGCCTTCCTTCCTGGGCTTCCACGTTGCTGGAAGTCACTGATGTCATGAGGATTTCCAGCCAGGCCTGAACTGAGCCCCCAGCCCGAAGGAGCCTGACAGCTGTGGGCTGAGAAGGGATGGTGTCCCCCTGCCCCTCCCCTACTCTAGTCCTGCTCCAGCCTTGGCTCATGGTCCAGACACAGCAGACAGACACGCTGCCTGGCCTGGCAGCCAAGCAGCAGGATGAGATGTGAGAGCCCTACTTCCTAAGCTGACTGGGGATAAGCTGAGGGGTGAAAGAGTGAAGGTGCCCTAAACCCCATGCAGCTGTCACAGATGGGGGGGGTAGTCAGACACCCTGCTCTTTCCCAGACCCTGAACAGGTCAGCTCTAGCCCCTCTCCAACCCCGGCTCTTGGGGTCTTACCTAGGAAGGTCCCGGTGAAGCCCAGTGCAAAGAAGCTGGAGAGCACCAGCACGCTGCCAACCCCCAGGAGCAGCAGGCCCGTCAGGTGGGCCACAGGGCTGTCCAGGCTGTCCATCCTGGGCTGGCTCAGCATGGCCTGTGTGAAGCTGCAGAGAGGGGACATGGGGATATGGGGCAACTGCTCTGAAGAGGAGGCTGCCACTCCTGCCAACCCCTGTCCCCCAAGCTGCACCCCAGAGGAGCCAGTCCAAGGGCCTCCAACTCAGTGCCTGTCAGGGCCAGACAGGTGACGAAGTGGCTGCAGGGGAGTGGGGTGCCAGGGGAGCACCGGCTCGCCCAGACAGCCATCCTAGGCACCAATGCCCTGCTGCCCTGAGGGAATGGCGTGAATGGGGCCCAGGCCTGCCAGGTTTTTGGTTTTCCAAGAGAAGTCAGAAATCCTGACTTGTATATGAAGTATCCTGATTAAAAACAAACGAAAATAGGCAATTAATGAAAAGTGTTTTGGATTCTGTGCGTGTCAGTAGGCCAGATGCAGCCCAAAGACCACCAGTTTGCAAACTCTGACCCTGTCCAGCTAGCCACTGGTACTGTGGAGGAAAGTGAACCTCAGAAAGTCAGACGCATGCCCCAGGTTGTGCCCCAGGCCACCCTGGTGTCCACGGGCCCCCATATCTGGCATGCATCCCACATGGTCCTGGTGCCCCACTCCCCTGGTGGACTCAGTGCCCTGAAGCCTTGGGCAAGCTCTGCCCCTGCCCCGGCCTCCTCGGGTCCTGTGCAGGACCGGCCACATCCCAGGAGGCGCCTCGGAGACCCCGTCTGAGTCTTCCACACCTGAAGAGCTCCCAGCTATTCCCTTCGGGGCCAAGCCATGCAAGGCCTGTTAAAAGGCAAGTGGGTTGACCAAAAGGGGTGACTATACTTGTGGGTTTTGAAATTCAGGTTTTCCTATTGGCTCCTGAGGACTAGAAGGCCTGGTACAGCGAGGACCAAGGGACTGGGCTCACAGTAATGCATAGAAGCAGGACTCAGGGACTGCCTCTGTAGGGAGGGACTCTCTCCAAAGAAAGGATGTGTGTGGGAGCAAGTGCCACACGCATTTATTTCCCACCCCCGTGACTCTAAGAAACAAGATATGCCTCATGAGGGACAACTACCTGCGCTTACTTTGTACCATGCAGGGCAAAGCTGCCCTAGCAGGGCAGCTCGCTATCCACTCACCCACCCATCCTTCCATCCATTAGTCTGTCCTGTGTCTGTCCATCCATCTATCATCTATCCACCCATCCATCCATCCATCCATCCATCCATCCATCCACGTATCTTCCACCCATCCACCCGTCCATCCTCCATCACCATAAGGTACCTGTCTGCCAGGCTCTTGCAAGCAGCACAGACTCATCACCTTCACTCACCCTGCTTGTAAACTCGCACCAACATAACACTATCCTTATGCTAAGCCAAGAGCTGCCTTCCTGGAACTTTCATCTAGCAGCTATCAGCTTAGAAAACACAGGCTGCTTCTCCTTCCCCTGAGCATCCCCTGGCACACTCCGGGCAGAGTGGGTCATAGTACACAGTCACCAAGAGCAGAAAAAACAGCAACCCCTGCCCTTCCCTCCTACCCCCCCAGAGTGGAGAGAGTCTGTGAACAGCCAACAGAGGCTGGCACAGTGACCCACCAAATGGAAGCACCCCTGTGTCAGGGTGCACCTGGCCACTGGTCACCCTGTCCACACCCCCAGCTCTCTCCCCCCACTGCGCTCCCTCCTGCTGCTGCGCTCAGGGTCATCCTACAGCTGCAGGCCAGGACTCTTGGGTTGGCTCAGGGTCACATATGCCCGGTGCTATGCCCGGTCACCACGCCATGCCCCACTCCTCCAGGCCCTCACCTGATCTTCTGGTGAACCTGAGCCAGGCACCCCACCACCCTGCCAACCCAGCAGTTAAGGCCATTGTGGAGCAGGGGGTGTGGAGAAGGTGTGGGCCCTGGCAAGGCTGGCTGCCCTATTCGGGGCTGGCTCACCTGCAGGTCCGCTTCCTGGCCCAGTGCCAACAGCAGAACAGATGAAAGGGGGGCTCTCACTCCACCATGACGCACCTGAAGCAGCCCATTCAGGGGACAGCTCCCACCCAGGGAACGGCTCCACAGGAAAAACCATCAGGCTGGGAGCAGTAGAGACCCCCGACAAAGGGCAGACCTAGGGCCGGTGGTGGGGGTGCAGGCAGCCCTGAAGCAGCCGTACGGCTGCCCAAGACTAGACCCAGGGCCTTTCTTGGTCCACCTGCAGCTCTGTTCCATCCTGTGCCATAGGAACAGAGGGTCCTGGAGAGCACCTCCCCGGGCTCCCTCAGTGCCTGGGAGTCCAGCTCCCCACTGAGCACCCCTGGTACTCACCTGGCTTCTCAACAGAGACGCTGGGCCAGGCCCCTCCCAGCTCCAGCCAGGTGCCCTTGCACACATGGCTGTGTGCTCTGTGGCAGGTTTAAAGAGGTGGCATGGCTGGCCCCTGTCTAGTGACCCATGAGGTTCCAGCCCCTCCATTAAGTCAGGAAAGCACAGTCCATCCCCCACAGAAAATTAACTAAGGAACAAGTGGCTCTGAGGGCCACACACTCTAGAACAGAAGAGTCACAAATAGGTAATTTCCTTTAGAAATATTCTACACTAAGGGTGGGAGTGGAGAAACTCCTTTGTCTGTCTCCAGTTCTATTTGTAAAACTTAAATTGAGCTTTCGGGCACCCATGTGACTTCAGGCTGTCCACACCTTGCTACCCTGAAGTCCTGGAACCTGGGTGGAGGCAGGTAGGGGGCCATGGCCCGCTGTGTTCTGGCAGCACACCAGGCACCTGGCTCAGCCTCTGGTTCCAGCCTCCTTCCAGATCCCTCCTCTAACCAAGGCCCTTCCTGCGAGGGAGGCAAACCCCTGGGTTCCCCCGTGGCCTGCGAACCCGCTTGGCCCCCGCTCGGCCCAGAACCCAGGACTCACAGGACGCCCCACTTGAGTGAGAGTTGGCCGCCAACACCAGGCACATCCCAACCCACACAGGGCAAGGTCAGGGCATTTCAGGGGTGTGAGGAAGGTCCCCACCCCAGTCAGTGGACTCAAGTTAACTTGGGGGGGCCCCAATGGCTTTCACTGAGAGAAGAGGTCAGAGAGAGAAATCAGAGACGCCCCTGCCCACACTGCCCGGAGGAAGCCTGCGGCCATGCTGGGAGGGGCGCGTTGCCCGGCAACAGGCAGACTCTAAAAGCTGAGCCCTTCCATTCTAAATGAAAGTTTTGCTGGATAGAGCAATCTTGGATGAAGGTCTTTGGATTTCATGACTTGGAATACTTCTTTCCAGCCCCTTCTTGCCTGTAGGGTCTCTTTTGAGAAATCCACTGACAGTCTGATGGGAACTCCTTTGTAGGTGACTGTCCCCTTAGCTCTTGCTGCTTCTAGAATTCTCTCCTTCATTTTAATTTTGGCTAATGTAATTATGATGTGCCTTGGTGTGTTCCTTCTTGGGTCCAACTTCTTTGGTACTCTCAAAGTGCTTCTCAGATAAGATCAAATTCAAGGAGTTCATCATCACCAAGCCCTTATTATATGAAATGTTAAAGGGACTTATATAAGAAAAAGAAGTTAAAGAAACATGAACAGTGAAAGGACAGCAAACTCACAGTTATTAACAACCACACCTAAAACAAAAGCAAACTAAAAGGACAGCTAGATCAGGAGTGGAAACATAGAAATGAAGATCTCAAGGAGGGTTAGCAACAGGGGAGTGGGAGAAGGAGAAGGGGGGAGAAGGTACAGAAAATAAGTAGCATAGACAGTAGATAGAAAATAGATGGGGGTCAAGAATAGCATGGGAAATATAGAATCTAAAGAACTTGAGACACATGGACATAAACTAAAGGGGGGTAATAGTGGGGACGGGAGGGTAGGGTGGAGGGGAATAAAAGGGGGGAATAGAACAACTGTAACAGCATAATCAATAAAAAAATTTTTAAATAAATAAATAAAAGCTGAGCCCTGCCTACACTGGTGAGGCACTGGGAGGCCTTGGGAGAACACTGTGCCCTCACTCCTTTGGGACTACACCCTGTGAACAGTGTTGCCAGGCCCTGGTGAAGCAATGATTGGCACACAGGGGGCCACTGGGAGGAGAGCCACACATGCTGACGTAGCACTGGTCTGATCAGTCCATTCACAGTGTGCACATGCCCCCAAGCCCTGGCGCACAGAGTGGGGAGGGAGGTCTGTCCCCACCCCAGCCACACCCCCGATCCTGCTGAATGGGGCCCCCCTCCCCTGAACCTGCAGGCCCATTTGCACACGGCCCAGTGTGGTTCTGAGGCAGACGCACACAGCCTCACCGGGGCTCCCAGTACCCTGCACACCGTTGTGAAACACCCGAGACTGCCATCCTATCCTGGCGCTGTGAGGAGAGTGCAGTGCCAGTCCTGCTGAGCCCAGGCCTGCCTGGCTGTGCGCAAGGAGCCCCCCAACAGGCTCGATGTTAGGTGATGGCCCCAGGCTGCCAGCTCCAGCCGAGGCAGGCTGTGCATAGGGTGTGCCCCGCCTGTCAGGTCCCCCCCACTTAGCCTTTGGTAAGTGTCTCACCCAGACAGAGCAGGCGGGTCTGTGATAATGGCCCCCAGAAAGAGAGCCAGTTCACCCTGCAGGCCCTGGAGGACGGCCTCAGGCTGCCTGGCCCTACCCTTTGGTTCCTGTTAGCAACCACCAGGCCCTGACCCCATGCTGGGCAGGCCTGCTGCCCAGAGCTCTTGGATGGCTCTCTTCTGAGCCCTGAAGGCTTCTGCCCCTCCCCGCATACAGCACTCGCTCAGCTTACAGAAAGCACAGACACGCTGCAATTGTCCAGAACAGGCAAACCCACAGGGATTGAAAGCAGATTAGTATTTTCCAAGGGCTAGGGGAGGGGGCAGAGCAGGTACAGGTGACTCCTTTATGGGTTAGGAGTTTCTATTTGAGGCAAAAAGTTCTGGAACTAGACAAAAGTGGCTGCACAACATTGTGAGTGTATTGAACGCCACTGAACTATGTAGTTTAAAATAGTAGTTCTGTTATGTGTCTTTTCCTGCAAAATAACAAAACATACATTTAGGAATCAAATGAAGTGATGTGTGTG